GTTGCTGTGAGCTAGGCTGACGCCACGGCACTCTAGCCCAGGTGACAGAGCAAGTAAGACTCTGCCCCCCCCCAAAAAAAAACCACTAAAGTGATAATAAATCTAATTGGCAGGCAGGAACCAACATTTATTAAAATTTTACTGGGTGTGTGTTATGCTAGACACTTGATAAATGTCATCTTGTAATTCCTTCTGAACACTTCACTTTTGCTCATAAGAGGCTGACAAACTGGATAAAATCAGAATCAGAGACATGACAGGAATTACTGAAGTTTTAATGCATCACTGTAACTAAGTCCACAAACTGTTTTTTCTGGTGAGAAACAGCAAGAGGAATCTTCACAAGGCTGCCAGAAACACTTCTCAGCAAAATTCAAAATATGAGGAAGCCCTAAATTGATGGTGTAAACCAAATGCAGGGTTTGAAAACTAATACGACAGGCAAAGTGAAGGCAGCAGGCTTCCTCTGGGAATGTCTAAGTAGGAAGCAACCTGTAGGCGAGTTATCTGTGATGGTGCAAGATGCTGCGTACTCCCTCCAAGTCCTCGTTCCCGTCTCCAGGACACCAGAGGAAAGGACAAACGGTAACTTGGTCACTTCTTGCCTTTCCGCTTCTCCTTGTCTTTGCCTTTTGAATCCTTGCCATCCTCTTTGTCCTTAGGCAGTTTGAAAGCACCGATTTCCCTCCTTACCACGGTGCCTCGCCACCAGGACTGGAGCTGGAAGAGAAAGGAGGAGCACGACTTACAGTACACCTGACAGGCTGCATTCTTTCCACCTGAAGGGACTGTCCGATAATGCAACTTCTGTCTGAAGAATGGTCTCCATCTGGGACACGGAAGTGGCCAGGCCCCTAATCAGTACAGCGATGCTCCCCTTTTGTGCAGGACCCAGAGCTTCAGCTCCGGACTCAAGAATGAAGTTCTCAAGGAATAAAAATAAAAGGAATTGGAGTAGGCCAATTTTTCCTTATACTTATATGAGACCTGACTTCCATGTTCTGTTCCCTTAATGAATGTCCCCGTTCCCCATACCAAATAACTAGCTGATCCCAAAGTAATGTTATGTACTGAGGGCAAGGACAAAAGCAAGCACTCAGTCAAAAATGCACAAATAAGTCTAGATGACTTCAATAGCTTCCTGGTGCATTTCATATCTTCAGTGATTCATTACAGGGTCAATTCTCTTACTTTAAAAAAGGATTTAGATGACTCCATTGAATATCTTAGTTAGATTACAACTGTTCTCAATGCAGTCTAGGCTACTTTAAAATCAGACTAAGCCCCGAAGACTAGAAGCAAATCCACTAGTGAAAAGAAAACAAAAGTGGTCTTCAGCTAGTCCTTACATCTTTGCTCTAAGTCCAGGAATCCTGACAAATGGAGAATACCATAGAAGCTTGATAAATACTTGCTATGTATATATGTGACTCTCTCCTAATGGAAAGCTCAAACTTGGTTTGGATACCTGGTCCTGAATGTACTTTAAAACTGACTTTTTCAGTACGCCCCCCAGTGTACAACCCAAACTACAGTTTGCCCACTAGGGTCTCAGCCTTCAGAGAGAAGGGCCATTCTCCAGACAACAGTTTCAGTCCAGCTGATATTATTTTTGCATTACAGTTTTTGCTTGAAAATATTTTGCAGGATCTGTGACATGCCAGTTTCATCAGCATTAATATACAAAAGTTCACACAAAACTAAACTCTATTTTTGTCTAAGCTGCTGCCTATCCCTTCCACCTTTTTTAAAAGGAACTTGTATCAGAACCCAGCAGATAGTCTGGCCTGATTTATAAACAGGATTATAAGAAGCAGTAGGATATTAAAAAGAATCGTTCTGTCCAGAGCTGGTTTTGATTAGAAATAGTATTCTTGTATTTGACCTCTAGACCTAGGTTTTGCTTCCACTACTAACCACCTCTTTTTCCCCAGATTAAGAGCTGGGGGCATGTCCTTTTCTCTGTTAACTGTCTCCCTGCACTATGGACTGTGGTGTCACATTCCAATAATAACAAAAGGGGATGCTTCCTCACAGATCTCCTGTTCTGTGGTAAACTGCTGTGTGTTTGATACATGAATGAGAAACGCTTTGTGTTCCTCAGTGTTAGGCCAGCTATGGCACTGATCGGGTCCCAGGATGCTGATTATAGTTTTCTACCTTTATGATGCTCTTTAATTGCAAGATATCCTGTTCTATCTTCTTCCTGCTCTTCTCCTTTTCTACACGATCTTCAATGATGACCTGTTCATACTCCCTTATCTGCAAAAGTAGACATTAATCATGTTATAGTACTCTCTTGGCTAAGCTGTGGCCCAGCCAGCCCTGCACTTTTAATATAAAATTTTAAAATAAAA